TGTGTGTATAACTATGTAAAAGGGTGCATATATATATATATATATATATGTATGTATATACATGTATATTTGCGCTTGAAAGCGTGCAGCGAAACAAGAAATTCAAATTACAGCGCACAGACAATCTCAAAAGGCACTCAAGTTTGGCGAAATCATACAAATAGAAACATGCACGTTCGGAAACCACACATATATATATTTATACACACCATCACACCATATATTCATATATTAGTACCCGCGAATAGTCGTTGACTTGCCTAATGGCAGCAACCGCCGCGTAGACTTAAAGCTTTAAGCCCACAAAGCACTTTGAGGAGTGAATGTCTGAGTGAGAACAATAAAAAGGAAAGAGTTGTGGCTGGTGGAACCTGGGGCGGAAGCGAATGGTGGCTATTAAATACCAGCAATAAAATGTGGTGTGCGTGGGCATCTGCAAACATAGCTAGGCGGCTGCGTTAAGGCATCTGAATGCCGGCGTTGCTGGCTTGAAGTGTTAAGTGAATAATGCGATGGTTCGCTATAAAGAAATGGATATGAACAAAAGTGGTGCAGAAATGTATTGAGAAAATGAAAGCAAAAATTTATTAAAAGCTTTGCAATGGTGAAACCGAAACGTGCTCGCTGCGCTTGTACGTGGTTGTTGACATCTAACATCTCAAAACTGAGTGCCTATGAGGGGATATATGTAGATATGTGTGGGTGATCATACTATAGCGAATTGTTCGAAGCAAAATTCAAAGTCTTAAACAATATATATATATATATATTATAACATTATTTTATAATATTCTTCTTCTTTACTGGCGGTTTTATAATTCTATAAATATAAATTTCAGCTTTAAGTATTGGTATAAAAGTCTTTCTGAAACCACCTTACTTGTTTTAAAGTAGTTAAATTAGGATTCAATTTCTCGAAATTTTCGAAAGTTTCATAATAAAAATAGTAGCCATGATAGGGATGAGCAGAAGAAATGTTTCATAGCGATCTCTGAAGTTACTTTTTTGACATGCTATGTGTTTCTTCACAACAGAGTTTGGTGTTAATACAGTAAAAATCTCGTTGTGGTTATTGAAAATTTTATTTTTACTTTGACACACAACTTTGTCGATAACTTTTTAAAAACTAAAGATATTTTATCACATAATATTTTAATAATATTTATTTTGACATTGCTTTTTGTTATTATTTTTGGTTTTAAGCCCCACGGATATAAAGGAATACACTTTTCTGTGAGGGAATAGTTGTTAATCTTCTCTATTGCTGACTTATTTTGCAAAAAAAATTTAATATTTGTTTAAATCAAAGTTTCGTAATAACCAAAGAGAAACTCTGATTTGGGAATAAATCTTGTAGATTTTTCTTTAATTTTAAATACACTACAAAAAGCTTTTTAAGTATTTTTAAAAGTCGGTTTACTATTCTTCTTTGTACCCAAATAATTGATGGTCTAACCTATGATGTGAGTAGGATTTCTAATAATTTGCTCGTTCTTTTCATATAGGAAAATTTTATCTTCAGATCAATGAAAATATTTGCTTCAAATTAAGGGATTATATCTACTCTAAGGTTAGAAAGAACGCGTTTTTGTGATTTTTTTAAGAGACATTTAATTTAATAAATTAATAAAACTAATATAAATTTATAGAATTATATGTCTTTAACGATGGATGATTTATTTTGAAAACTTTTGTATGTTTTTGCAGCCGATTTCTGTGAAGACCATCGAAATAAGGTGTCTGCTGGTGAGCAAAATCTGAAAACAAAAAATTATTTATATGTTTTATAAATTAATACAGGTTTAAATCAGAGGACCAGTCAAAATGACGGCTTCCCAAACATAATATTTTTTTGTAACCAACAAAACAAAAAAAAAAAAAAAATTTCAGATTGGCTGAAAAACACGAAATTTTTATGTAAACTCTTATTACTTCGATAAGAAAATGAGCTAAAATCCAATGAGGACGTGTGAAAGACTCAATTAACTATAGCCGTTTTAAAGAAAATTTTCTTACCGACTCTGAGGATTTGATTGCGAACAAAAATACATTTAAGTTTTTGTGAGTCAATTGCGTTAAGAAAATCTTTCAAATCATATCTCCGAAACATTTTGCCTATCATCTTCAAGGTTTCGATGTATATTTACAAATATATGTATATGTATGATATTTAAGCAAAAAAATCCTTCTTCCTCTATATTGGCGTATACACCGCTTACTCTTTTTCGCTGTTTTGCGCCAATGGGAGATTGCAAGTGGAGCCAGGTCCTCTTCCACCTTACCTTTCCAACGGAGTAGATATCATCCTCTGTTTCCCCCGGCGGGTACTGCATCCATTCGGTTCAATAACGTAGCCAGCGTAAATATACGATTCCAAATTAATTCGAAAAAATGAAGCGCATCTCAAAATAAGGCAAAAACAGCAGACCTGCTTAATGGTTAGTGCCTAAACCTTGGCATCCTTAAGTCCGTGCTCTCTCAAAAAGGACTTTACTTTTGTTGGTGGCCATTGTTTCTACTCTAATGTGGTACAATGAATGCCACATTTTATTTCGTGAACTCAAAGAAACTTGTAAAAATATTGCTGGCTTTCCTCAAAGAATATTGCCCACCATTCTGCAAAGGATACCTTTCTTTTACGCTCTAGTACAATTTATGGTTAGCAGGAATTTGTTGCAGGATTGCTTTCTAATGAAACTAGTCATAAAAATGTTATCGCTCTTTTTCTCTAATCGGTTAGATATATCTGAAAGTTTACTGGAAAACTACCAAAATTCATTTATTTTCTATCGCTTCACAAAGAACTACATATGCCAGTCCACGTGGCCAGCCATACAGATGGATATCGACTCCGTTCACATATAAATTCGACGTTTCCTCCAAGTTCGTACAAACTTTCCTGTAAACTTAATATGTGTTGTTCTTGGTATAAAAATATCGGAAAAGCAGATAACCCCCTTTGGGTCGAATATGTAATCTTTTACCCATATGTTTAATACACTTTATAAAAAAAAAAAAAAAAAAAACATTTTCTCAACATCACTATTGTGCAATATGCGCATTATTATCTCCTTTCTTTCCTGCTTTTCTCAATGCGACCACACTTTCACTTCTGCGCGATGAATGAGTGAGTTTGTGACTGTGTAAGTGATTGCTTTGACTCAATTTATTTGCAATTTCTTGTCGCTAGTATCTAATGGTTTGCCATTTACGCCTCAACAAAGTAAAATTTTATAGCATTTGTGGCATGCAGCATGTCAACAGCACACGTTTTCAACAACAATAGCAAATGCACATAAAACCATATGCTGATGTATGTATGTATGTACATCTTAAGCATAAGTATGTGAATGTATCATCGAATACACATATGTAGCACACACGCGCTCCTTGCGCTGAGTGCTCGGCCGCGCTTTATCAATCAAACATTTTGCGCCTCTAGTGTCGCCGCTGACTGCAAGCTAGCGCAGTGTGAGACGCGTGCCTGGCACGTTTTGTTTTTGTTTACTTGCATATGTGTACGTGTGTGTATGGAGTTGTGGTTTGGCGGTCGACGGTATGTGCTGAAGTGGCATAATGACTGCATACATTTGCACATACATAGCTGTCGCCTAATGGAGCTCATTGTTTTGACATTTCCGTTTGGCTTCCTTCTTATTGTCTCTTTTTGTTCGCTTGTGCCCAGAAAAATGCTTAGCCTCTGGAGAAAATTAAAAGTATTTTTATGCGACGTGACATTTTAAGATCACATCGTACAAATAAATGTGGAAATAAGTGCAGCGGGATGAGAGTTTTCTATATATACGTATAATAGTAATATAACATTTAATTTAAAAAAAAACAATTTTTTTTGGAAATTTATGTACATAAAAGTGCACTATAGAGTGAGTAAAAATAAATGAGTATTTGTTTTTGCGAATGAATAAATATTTTTCTTTTAAGAGGAAAGACGCAATCGAATTTGTATGCAGTTTTTTTTTATACTTCCGCATCTATTATATAACAGCATTTCTTATAATATGCTAGCAGCCTTTAGAAGATTTTTGTTTAATACATCTCGGCTCGGAGTAAAACGACCGAAAAGCTTTTATTGATACCGATAGAAAATTGTATGCCCTTTTTAAAGTATAACTTATCGAAATTCAAAAAATTTATTTTCTAATAAAAAAATAAAAAATTTTTTTTTAGTGGAAAATATTTTTAAAGAAATATGATATTTTTGTAAAGTTCCGTAAGTAAAATATCGGGATATATAATTGTTTGCTTTACTTAAA